ATGATCACGAACCTCACCAAGAGGGTGGAAAAAATTCGGGTTTTTAATTAGATCGCAATATTTTACGCGAAACACCCCACAGACTTCATCATCACGATGCTCGACCACGGTAAAGAGAAGGCTGGGGGGAAATGATGACAACTCGTCGACATGCACGTATACCCTTCCACCCACGGCGAAAGGGTTTGTATACCAAGCGCATAACGGACCCGTATTTAAAAAAAGGATGTATACATATATATTAAGCATACGACGGGAATGCGAACACGCCGACCTAGCGACCCTCCTTCCCATTCCTCGCTGCTCGTAGATTTTTTGACCCTCATTTTTGGGCAAAAAAAAAAAATTAGTAAAAAAAGCACATCGGGTGTGCGACATACCAATATTAATATAATATACTCGTACTACACTGTTTCCGAATACGATGTCAACACGACGTTCCGCAAGTGTTTATGAACGCGCGCGTAATTAAATATTTTAAAAGGGTTTCGTTTTTTTATTATTTCCTCCCAGTTTTCGTTTTAATGACATTGCGATCATGTCCGCACGATTTTCTCGCCACTAGTCGTTGGCGACTAATAAAAAAAAAACCGTAGCTTTGCTTACAAACTGAACTTCAACGCCGGCACGCCGCCACTGGGATCCAAATAAAGGGAGGTACTTAAAATAAATGCTCACCGAAATTCCATTGCGATTTGCGACACACCGTTCTACCATGCGGTAAACACTGTGTTGAATTTGAACAAAAAATATTCTACGATTTTAATGATAATTATATATTATATAAGCACATAGCTAAATCAGTACCTACATTTTGAAGTGTTAAATTTAACCTTACCTAACTAATGCGAATTATTACATTTTTAAATTATTAGCAGTTTGAGTTATTAATATTTATGATGTTTGTAAATATTTTTAAGTAAACAGAATGGGCGTTGGAAAGCACCCAATTACACTATTTAATCATATAATTGTATTCATTATATATTATAAATGTAACACAAATAAGAAGATGCATACAATATTATTTTTGTATGTTGATAACTTGGGATGTAAGAGTTTTTTTGCCCAAAATAAGTAGCCGATAATTCAGTCGAGTTGAAAATGTACGCCCACCACCCACTTCAGTACTCTTTAACTTGTGGTTACAAGCAGATGGAACGCACGACGCCGACACTCGGGGAAAACCAACTTAATTACTAACTACGACGATTTCAACAGGAACGGATTGTAACGTCGAACGAATACCAACCGGAAATACAAATACAAATAAATTCAAACTATTCGGGTCGTGTAAATCGAAACGATAATAATAATAATCGTCTAATAGGATTCTGGCAAAATACTGAAAAATAATGATCAATTGATGAATATTGTTTACATGATTGTATTACGATAAACCGTTATCGCGTAGAATAATAAACATTATTATTGTAGAATACTGCTCTAGTGTTTACAGAAATGCGATAATATTAAATTGTCATTATTATTATAAAGGAATATTTGTAAACATTTTATTTACTTGTCGTTTCTATACTTCTAAAAATTCAACGCAAGCAAAAAAAAAATACCCCGAGATGTGTGGTTGGTGATCCGTGGTAAGCACGTAGTTTTTCGACTCCGATTGTTCTAATCGGAGTCGAAAAACGACGAAGTATTTAAATAACTTAATCCGTGGGATTTTTTGAGAGATACGCAGGTTTTGTAACCGAAAAAAAATATATAAACAATCGGTATTTATGAAATACTACGACTACGCACGAGACTAAGATGATGACAAAATAATATAGTCGTTTGTAATCGTTTCCAGGAATACATCGAAGCAATTTCTTCGGTCACGCGCGCAGAGAGCTGCTCGAGACGTCTACGCGAATATCGCGAACCACCATCGACATCGGACCGTAGGAACACTGAAGATTTGAGTGTATACAACACAACTTAAAAACACGTTTAACTAGACACATTTTATTGCCCAGTTTAAAGTAAAGGACAATAAAACCCGACGAGCAGCACTAACTACCGCCGTTGTAGTGGACGTCCTTCGACCAAGTTCTCAACGCGAACGCAATACAAACGCGCTAGTCCACACAAAAAAAAACCCACGTGGTGCACCGAAATATATTGTTTTCCCCGCCAACGAAAATTGCGATCCCTTTTGAACGCCTTAACACGAATGATGTCTCTGATAATTTATCTTTTTAATTCTATGCGATTTCCCGTTGTTAGCGGAGAAACGTATGTAAGGGGCGGGAAAGGAGATATGAGAAATGGATCACCGTTGAGCTTTTTTTTTTCAAATAATATTATATAGGTATTCCAAAAAATTACTTGTTTATAGATGTGTATTTTTAGAGTGCAAAAATTTTTATACGCATCCATATTGGAACGGTGGCGTTCAAGTGATTTGATGACGAGTATCAAAATACACAGTTATAATATTTAAGCACAAATGTCCGATGTCAGTAAATACAGTTCCGATAAATTAAGCATGGATCAGATACCTATTCTAAATGAATGCACAAAATATACACAATACAAAATAATATAATATGCATTGGAGATAAGGTAACTATATTACTATAATTATAATAATAATAGCCTAAACAGCCGAATGATCTCGCACGGTTAATAATAGACTAAATGGGTAACGTACTAACGTTATTGTCTTATTGACATGTCAACGTAAAGTAAAAATAATATGCCGATTAGTTTTGGTGAGTGAAGTCTAAACATTTTTGAGTATGATCGATTTTGTATTATTATAGTCAGAGTTATTATTTTTAAAACATTGTTTAAATTCCAAAAAATATATAGTATATTTATAGTTATTGATATCTATAAGTATAATTAATTTAAACTATTCTTAAGTACCTACTAAACATATTATTAATTAATATACATAAATATATTATATATATATACCTATGAGTTAATGGTATCAAATATTAAATAAGTAGGTATTATATTATTTTGATTTAGCAAAACATATTTAACATAATATCAGAAACAAGAGCTATATAGTATTATTTAGGCGAATTTTATTATACTTTAGTAAACTTTTTTGATTACACAACGTATTATTATTAATTTGCAATTTTAAAGCAACAGATTTGGTGTAATYATAGACAGATAAATTGCATATCGTAAAAAAAACCTTAATATACATCACCAAGTCGGCCGTTGCACGTTAGCGGGTTATACAGTTGTATCGACCTTTATCAATTTAGCGCTATCAAATACACGAAAGTTTTATTTTCCCAAAAAAATCAACAAAAAGTTTACTCGACATTTTCTCCGGACGTATTTGGATTCTTCTCACACACAAAAAGAAACCGATTAATTTTCTCCAGACGGTCTCGGGGGCGCGACAACAACACTCAGACGATGCACGGAGACAGGGTGACGAGGTACCAGACGGGAACTTTCGAAAGAGGGTCGAAATCCCAATCCCCCAAACAGAGAGGAAAAAGGCCACGTTTTTCGCCCTCTTCATACCCCAAAATGTACGACAGACACGCTGGGAAAAGGGAAGGAAGGCGTCGGCGGCGGTTACTCACGCACGCTGCCGACAGTCTGACTAGGGCAACAATAATAAATTCGTGTGTTTACGGACGCGACGCCGAGACTTGTACACAATACCAAGCGGCGGCGATGTTTACACACGCGAGCCGCATACCAACTTAATCTTAAAACCCTCACACGAAAAACGTACACACGACTCAACGATGATAGTTATTTTTATAAAATTAAACACAAAAAACATAGTAGACAACAATAATAATAACCTGAAAACAATGTAAGAGTATAACAATATATAATTTACCTTTCGAAAACATCTTTGAAACAGGCCCCACGCTTCTTGGACGACGAAGACCCGGAACCGGCGCCGGTGCTGGTACTCGAACCGAACGACCCAGAGTGAGCGGGTGAAACGCTGCTGGCGGAATTGGTGACGGGCGAACTGGAACCGTTGGACGAACCGGACATGCTACCGGTGCGGAGCCGCAGTTCGGAGTAGTCGACCATCATTGTGGACGCAGCGACAGCCGGTTGTCTGGCGGCAGGCTGCCGGCGCTTCTTCTTTTTGCCGGCTGTTGGCGGAACGGCCGACGCTCTGCCGCTGTCCGTGTCGTCCACGGCGACGGCGCTTCCACCGGACGATCGTCGCCGGATAACGGAAACGGACGACGACTGCGGCCACTCGGAGTCCTTCTTCAAGTAACCGCGGCCACAGCGGCAGCCACAGGCCTTGAACGCCATTTCGTAACCTTTCTTGTTGAGGTTCACCACGTTGTTGTTGTTGACGTTGACCGTCCACAAATCTTTGATGCGCCGGCCGTTGGACTGCGGCGCGTTACCGTTGGCGTACGTCGCCGCCGCGTTCTTCATGTAGACCAGCACCAACCGTTCCCAAGCGTCGAAACACTCGCGGTGCATGTACCGGCCGGCCGAACACCCGCCGTCGCTGCACACCACGCGGGCGTACAGTTCGGCGGCKCGTGGATCTTCTGGCCTGATGGGCGAGGACCGCATGATGCAGTCGCCGGTGGGCACGCAACACTCTTCGAAGAGCTGTTGCTGTTGGTGGACGAGTTGGAAGGGCTGCTGTTGCTGCTGCTGGAACAACTGTTCCATGGCCGTTGTGGTTGACGGGCCGAACAAGTCGGCGAAGTGTCCGATACCGTTGAAACCCATTGCGTTCCGTCGAGGAGCCATTCAACGACGACTATGACAGGCGACGTTAGTCGACGACGACCACGGCGACGGCAATCGCATGCCGCGCGCCGGCCAAGACGACGGACTCCGGTGTCTCGTCAGTCGATTGCGTTCAAGATTTGTTTTTTTTTCTCGATTTATAGTTTTAGTAAAAAAAAATTACTCGGCGTGCGCCAATAGCACTCGAAAAATCGGCGYTCGCGGTGACGAAGGATTGATAGATTGAGAAGTTTTTTTTTTCGTTCAAATTATTATAYCGACAATACGTACGTGATACGAAGTGGAAAAGGAAACGATCGTCAAATTTKCCGATACGAAACCCACAAAATYGTCTCGAGACGAAACGAAAAAATAATAATCAAAAATCAAAAATGATGGCAAACAAAAAAAATGTATTATTATTATTAATAACGATTTGTACTTCGTCACAGGTGTGCGAGGAGTGCGTGTGTGTTTGAGTTATGTATGTGTGTTTGTGTGTTTTGTGTGTCGCGGCGCGTGCGGCACGGACGACGTACGGCCACTTTCTGTTTCGTTGACCGACTGTGCGGAGATATCCGAACGCGAAACACCCGCGCGACAACAGCGGCGGCGGCGGCGGTCACGATACACATAMMCGGTCTCGCGCGCGCGCTCTCTCACAGATCTCGATTGTGCCCGCCCGGTTTTGCGTCGTTTCGTGTACGCGACCGTCAATGTGCATTTGTGTGCGTGCGCGCGCCACCCAAAACCGTGTACCGGTGTGTGCGTGTATGCGTGTGACGGTCACAGTCAAGGGCAGCGGCGGCGGTGGTGCGGCGGCTGCCGCGACGGCGTCAGTGGCGCCCACTGGTGCGGAGTAACGATATCACTCCCCTCCACCGCCGCGGCCGCCGCCACTAACAAAGTCGCCGGCAGGGTAGTATCGCGGCGTGCACGTCACGTGACCGCTAGGCGAGTATTTCGGGGCGGCGATAGTGCGCAGTGAATTCGGCGACGCCGTCGGGGGGTCGCGAGGGCGGCGTCCCTCTAGAATTTTCGGCAATTTTTCGGAAACCGGGTGGGCCACGGCCGCATCCACCCACCACCGRCAACGTCACGGGTGTACCGTTACCGCAAGCGTGCCTCACGACTGATTCATTACTATTATTATTATTATTATCATATTTACCGGCTTCGTTGTTTTTTTCCCACCCCGCCGACGAAACTATACCGTATTACGCCAACCGTTAAAATTTTTTTTTTGGTTTGCGTGTTCCGCGTCGGAAATCATATTATTCCCGCACCATGCACGATCGACGATCGAATTTCTCGAATATTCCACACTGGCCATTCTGGTAAAATTAATGAAATAACGTYACAAACCACCGTTTGACCGACTGCCCGWGTACTCATTATTATGCGAGTTTATAAGAAAAAAATTCAAAGTTTTAAATTTCACCGCCTATATTAAATTGTGTTTTGATTACGTAAGCAGAAACGCCGTTCTTTTTTAATTCAAAACAATTTTAATAATAAAATAATAATAATAAAAAAAAAAAACACTGATTAACCGATTCATGTGTATACACAACTGTAACAAGAGATTATTTACGTTTAATTAACTCCAAGAAAACATATTATATAATACATACCTAATATATGTAAAAAAGATAAACTTTTGATAAACATTTAAGATTTAAGGTAACTTGAAATGACAATAAAATCGTTAGAAATAACACCAAATACGTTTGATGTACTCCGTGCAATGAGAGCTCTATAATAGGTACAAGGTACACCTATTCTGGGTTGCGTGAAAAATTTATTAATTTATGGGTTCAATAAAATTTAATGGACTTATCACGAGCCACTAAATCATGTTTAAGGGACGATACTATTAGTTAACAACTGGTCGGTAAATATTTACAATTTAGAGATTGTCCGTGAAACCCGGCATTATTATGTTGATATAATGTATATACCTATGTATATGTATATATATATTTATTTATAGTCCTATGAAATCGATTTAAAATCGAAGAATCCAATTCTAAATACGTATATCACATCAAGTACAACGAAAATAAAAACACTAGGTATTGAGTTCTATTTCTAGATATTTTGTTCAGATAATATTAGCACAATTATTTTCCTCTGACATCCAAACACGGGAAATCCAATTTTAATTTGTATGCATATGATTTACTTTGTTCAATATTATAATATGGTTCTATTMTATTATACGTCTCGGTGTGTTGTATGTTTAACAATAAATCATATAGAATGATATAATAATTAATATTATACTGGTATGAAAAAAGTTTAACATGTTGAATAATAATAATAATGAAATGTAAATAATAACGCAATATTGTGTGATAATAATAATATATTAGTTCATAAATTAATAGCTAATAGGAAAAAAAATTATCAAATAGAATAATATAATTATAATATTACGATCATTGATCAGTGATCAACAACATTAATTAATTATTCATATTAATATTTAAATTGTTGATGACCCCTATAAGCGGTGTAACAATATTTATGAGTATATATATTATGTAATATACCTTATATACCTACTAATATGTATAATGTATATCGTTTATGTTATGTATATGCGTGCTTAGGTTTTTACTCGTAAATATTATAGCCTTAATTATTTGTATATTATAAATGTGATTTTTTTCTACAATAGACGTTTGAAACATTTGATTGATAAAAATACGAAGAGTTTCTAACATTCAAGAATTGGTTGAATTTTGAGTGAATTTGTTTTTAAAACGATGATTATTACGCGACAACAAATTATTAAAATTAAATAAATAAATAATTTTTCAAATATTTTAAAAACAACTTTTATTAAATATAACTATAATATTATAATTTATCATTGRAAAATAACGCTATCGGTGACCTATGCGTATAGAAAGGTTAGCCATAGGAATTGATAATTCAAAAATGTAGTAACAATATGGAAAAAGTAATTTTATTTACGCCAGAATAACAGGTAAAGTATTGAGTATATTCCTGTAAAAATGTGTGTATATTCAATGTTGGTTACTACCTACTGAATAATCATAACATTTTAACATTTTATTATTGCTAGATTTAAAAACGAAACGTAAATTTTTTTAAGTACCCAAATACCTCCACTATGCGACTGTGCCGTACTCATTTTTCGTAGTCTTTTTTTCTTTTATATGATATTTGGGTATACCGTAGAATWTTACAAGTGAGAACAGCATAAAATGATTAGAAATAATATCATAAAGGTTTTAAAAATGTCATTATGCATAGAATATAATAATATACGTAAATTCCTACTCCATAATGACATTAAGTTTCAAATATCAAGYCTATACGATTAATGATTAACTATTAGWTACAATAAAATAATTCAAACCAGTGAAMTCGTTATGTTTCGTTTTAACATCTAATTTCATCAAAATGTTGATTACAAATAAATGTTCAAGATTATTGTGGCCATGAATTTTCAATATTTTCATTTATTTATCAATTTCTTGACGAAGTAACAAAAATGTTATCAACAAAAAAATCAAAAGATGAATTATAATAAAATGTGAATAGATTAAATATTAGACTAAACAGAAAGACAAAATATTTTTTAATTGAATTCATTTACAGCTCTTAGTTTTTGAATTCTAACAAAATAAAGCAGAAAAATGCTTCAATTTAATTTTGATTGTTATTTCTGTTGGATAATAATATTRAGTTCTAAGTAAAAATTCCATTTCTTTTCAAAATAATCGAGGGGAAAAAATGAAAAAAAATGTTATGTTACCTAATTCATTGTTTGACAGTCAATTTCATAATTAATGTCATAGACCTTATATTAACCTTGCACTACTCGTAGAAGTCTATTATTGATGTAAATATTTTCTTAACATTTATTTCAGTACTTAATAGATATGTTATAATTTTCAAAATATGTTATCTCTTATTGTCTCATTCCTCTGTTCATSGGTATTAACTTATAAGTTAATAACGTTAGTGATATTATACGAAATGTCAAATATTATGTTATATTTAAAACATGTGATTTTATTTTAGAAAAATATGTTCATCCTACCGTAAAATAATTAATAATAAAAGAATAAATTACTAATGGCAATATAAAATATATAATATATTAATATGATAAAATATTCTTAGAAACATAGGTGACACTAGCATAGCGGCGATGACAAATACTTCCTCGGTTTTTTTTCATGGGTAGTATTTGGAATTCGGTTTCGTTAAAAACATATTTTCTAAAACATAATATTACCTTTTACGTGAAAATCTTGTTGGTATTACCATTATCATATCGAATTATCGTTATTGTTAAAAATAACTAGAACAATGTCACAAAATATATTTAATTATAAATTAATGTTTCTATTAAGTGATGACTAATGATGTTTTTATCTTTATTAAAATAATAAAACATATCTTGTTTATTATCACCTGTTCCATAACAATGAYATCAAACCGTTAAATCAATAGGTACCTAGCTATATKTACGTTTGAAATCACGGGACGCAAATAATTAACCTCAACCAAATGTATTATCTGAGACGCAATTATCGCAGGGAAAAAATTAAGTAGCTACTCCTTCATACATACATTTTCGTTAAATCATCATAAAATGTATGTTTATTTTTATTTTTTTGATAAAATTACATATTCTTAGTTAATTTTGTCAGCATAAATAACACATGATATAACTAGTAACTGCCCCATTGGATCCGTGTWTATTGAAATTCCATTACATTTCTCTTGCACAATAATACTGTTTAATCTGATTAGAAATGATACATAAATATAAATTCACACGTTGACAACAAAATAAAATAATCAATCTGTTTGAAATGTGTCAAATGCAATAATCGGAATATTACCTAACGTAACTGTTAGAATATATTAATACTGGAGTATCGTGTTTATTTCATGTCATGGAATAAATAACTTAAAAATTAACAATTATTTATAGAATTGAATATTAAATCTGTGCAAAGTTTGTATCTTGTATGGTATAGTTTTGACATTTTGTTAAAAATGTCGAATGAAAAATAGATAAACCATAATAATAATGTGACAATCAATGTGAAGCAATACATTTTATAATATTGTCAGAACATTCAGAACAGAAAACTACAAGTACGATAGCTGATGATTGTTTCAACCCAGCCAAACGTCCAAACCCTAACAACTAACCACCCGAAAAATCAGATCATAATCAGATGTTCTGTAGATTGTAAGTTATACAGCTGATAAATGATAATATAATATAAGTACTAAGTAGTGTAACTATGTTAGGTGGTTACCGTTCTTCGATGCATTTTTAAGAATCAATTATATTATTGCTATTATTATCAATGGCTGAAAAGAGGGTTTAAACCATTGGGATCGTTCCAATTATCAAACTTAAACCAGCCAAGACTGCCGGCAGGATTCCAATATTATTCAGTTGCATGCGGTTTATTAAGGATGAAGTTATGTAATCATACGGTAATAACCGTTAACCACAAGCAGATTTCGTACAATGAAATAATATYGTATATAAAATTAAAATGTTCGTATTAATTATCGTTCTAACCAGCCGTAAATCGAATAATATTCGACTTAACAC